TCTAAAAGCTGCTGCCCAAGGGTCTGGTTCCCAACAAGATGCATCTGAGTCCTAACAGAGACCCCCTTCTTTGGGACCCTGACAAGTCTTGGCACACCTTCCACTACTGGGAGCCACTAAGAACAAGTGCATCTCAGACCATCATAAAGGTTTGGGAGACAACCAAGATCGAGAGCAGGGATAAACAACAAAGTCCATCTGCTATATGAGACCATCTGCCAAGACCGGAGGAGGATTTCAATGCACAGAAACTAACGTGGAAAGTCAAAGAAAATAAAGAAGTACAAATTGCCAGTTAAAAATAATCATGGGGATAGAAAGTACAGCATAGAAATATAGTCAATAATATTGTAATAACTATGTATGGTGCCCGGAGGGTACTAGACTAGTCAGGGGAATCACTTTGTAAATTATATAAATGTCTAACCACTATGCTGTACCCTTGAAACTAATACAAAAACAAGCTAAGAAAGAAAGAAACAGACTCATAGAAACAGAGATCAAACTGATGGTTGCCACTGGGGAGGGGGTTGCGGGATGGGTGAAAAGGTGAGAGAAAATATAGTCAATAATATTGTGATAAGTTTGCATGGTGATGGATCATTACTAGATTTAATGTGATGATCACATTGTAAGATATATAAATATTGAGTTACTATATTATATACCTGAAAATAATATAATATTGCATCCAACAATATTTAAATTAAAAAGATAAAATATTATAGCTTTCCTTGGGAGCAGGTGTTCTTAAGAAAAGGGTGGTCTGGGAATATTTCAAAAAGGCCACTTTTCTCCTGTCTCTGCTGATTGTATGAGGGCTTTTTCTCCAAACTCTACTGTGAGGATCTAGAATGATTCCTTGAGGCAAATTTCACAGAGGTGCTGGTGTCCCTTTGGGGTTTTTAACTCCCAAACACATCCACACTGAGCCTCTGGCAATTTGTCAGTTACAGAGTAAGCTTCTCTCCCTGATTCTCTGTGTGTGCTTGTCTCTCTGATTTGAGGGCAGCAGTGAGCCTTGTGACCTCAATTTCTTTACAGAGCTAAGAAGAGTTGTTGGTTTTCAGTTTGCTCTACTGTTTTTGTTGTATAAGTGAAAGCAATAACTTCTAAGATGCTGACATGCCAGGTCTAGTTTCTCTGCATGCTTGCCAGTTCCAGCATAAATTTTAAAGTTTTAGTTGTTCCAACATATGTAATGATATCTCATCATTGTTTTATGTTAAAGATTCTTCATAGCTAATGATGCTGTACATAGTTTTATAAATGTATTTGTTATAAATTTGTACTTTATGGTTATCATAGAGTAACCATAAACCATATCTGTTTATGTATTTTTCCCATTTTTCCAACTAGATTTATCTTACTATTGAGTTTCTTATTTTATTTTTTTCCCAGCTTTATTGAAATACAATGGACAATTAGTTGCTTTTATTTACATTGTACAATTCAATTAGTTTTTAAATTATAGTTGGCATACAATAATATACCAGTTTCAGTTGTATAGCATATTGATCAGAGATCCACATAACTCACAAAGTGATCGTCCCACTAAATCTAGTACCTCTCTTCTCCCTTACATATTTATTACAACATTATTAACTATCGTCCTCATGCTATATTCTACATCTCCATGTCTATTCTGCAACTATCCATTTGTACCTCTTAATCCCTTTGCCTTTTTCTTTCGTCCTCAAATCCCCTCGCATCTAGTCTCTCTCTAAATAGTCTCTGTATCTATGAGTTTATTTCTGCTTTTGTTGTTGTTATTTGGTTCTTTAGATTTCAGATGTATGTGAAATCATGCAATATTTGTCTTTCTCTATCCGACCCATTTCATTCAGCACAATACCCTCCAGGTCCATCAATGCAATATCTTTCTCCATCCCCTTCCTTTTAGTTCTGTGTGTGTCTTTTAATCTGGTGAATCTCTTGTAGGCAGCTTATGTAGGAGTCTTGTTTTCTTATTCTTTCAGTCACTCTATTTTTTGGCTGGAACACTTAATTCTTTTCCATTTGAGGTACTCGTTGATAAGAATGTAGTTATTACCATTCTTTATTCCTATTTTTGATACATATTTTTTCTTCTTAAAGAAGTCCCTCCAACATTTCCTGTAATACTGGCTTGGTGTTGATAAATTCCCTTAGCTTATTTTTGTCTGGGAAGTTCTTTATCTGCCCTTCAACTCTAAATGATAGCTTTGCCGGATAAAGTATTCTTTGTTGTAGATCCTGGGTTTTCATCACATTGAATATTTTGTGCCAAACCCTTCTGTCCTGCATAGTTTCTTTTGAGAAATCAGCTGCCAGTCTTATGGGTGATCCCTTTTAGATAACTAATTGCTTTTCTCTTACTGCTTTAATATTCATTCTTTGTATTTAACCTTTGGCATTTTAATTATGATGTGTCTTAGTGTGAGCATCTTTGGGTTCCTAGTTTTTGGGACTCTCTGAGCCTCCTGGGATTTTATGTCTATTTCCTTCACCAGATTAGGGAAGTTTTCCATCATTATATCTTCAAATATCTCTTCAACGTCTAGTTTTCCTTCTGTACTCCTGTAACATGGATATTTTTATCTTTAATAGTGTTCCATAGGCTCCTTAAATAATTTTTATAGTTTTGGCTTCTTTTTTCTTGCCATTCTGATTGAATATCCTTGGCTTCTCCATTCTCTATATCGATGGTTTGATCCCTTCCCTATCCATTCTGTTGATTCCCGCTAATATACTCTTCCTCTCAGGTAATGTGTTCTTCATTTCTGATTGTTTTCTTTTTATAACTTCCATTTCCATTTTTATGGTTTTTATCTCTTTGTTAAAGTTCTCACTTAATTCATCTACATTTCCCCTAAGTTCCTTGAGCATCTTTATAATCAGTGTTTTGAACTCTGCATCTGTTAGAGTGCTTGACTCCATTATTTTTTGATCTCTGTTCTGCTCTCTCATATGGTTTCTGCTTCTTTGTCTTCTCATTTTGGCTGCCTTTTTGTGTCTGATTCTATGTACTAAGCAAAGCTCCTCAGTCTCCCAGTCTTATTAGTGTGGCTTCGTGAAGTAGGTGTCCAGTGGCAAAGTCCTGAGAGGGGTTCAGCTGCAGGCCAAGTTTAGCCCCAGACTTTGCCCCTATGGGGCCACCTGTTAAGATTTAGGAAGCAATCCACAGATGCTGTGCTTATAGTTGCCTCAAGAGGCCACGCCAGAAATTGCGGTCAGCTGCCACCAGTGTGAGTCTAGACACTGCTCAGCAAGGGGCACCTGACTTGCCAAGGATACATTTGGATGTTTCTTGGGTGAGGCCTCAATTTGGGAGAGGTGGAGTTTCAGGGAATCCTCTGGGTTGAATGACGTCTGTCATCCAGTTTGATGATGTTTCAACAATGGCAGCACTGAGTCTGCACAATTAGGTAGTGGGGAGGGCTCAAAAGAGGAACAATGGATACTGCAGGCACTTCTGTACAGAGTCATCTCACCTCCGGCCCTCACTCCAACAACTCAGTGTCCTCCTGTAAATCCTTAGTGCCCCTTGTGCAGCCCACTGGGTGCTGGTGCTCAGAGCAAGCAGGTCCATCACTGTGAAAGTCTGTTCGCAAACATGGCCTCTTTAAGAGGTATCTGCAGCTGCCAGCTGCCAGCTGCCAGCTGCCACTGCTATGGCCTCTGTCCCACTCAGCTGCTTGGGACCGGGCAGCCTCGCATCTTCGCCTCATCCTACCTCCTCCTGTTGCAGGGTGATTTCTTAATTCTCTCCCTAGTTGTAGAGCTTCTTCATCTAGATCTCAGGTGATTTCCCTTGCTGTTTGCTCCTTGTTTCTGTCACAACTTTGATTTGGTCACAAGAAGGATGAACAGAGCCTCTATCATCCATGCTATTTTTTTCTCTCTACTACTGAGTTTTGAGGTTTCTTTGCATATTATATCCAAACTACTTATACGACAAGTCTGCTCCCAAAAACATAACAACAAAAAAAGAGCAGAGCCCTGTCTGGAATACATCTTGGCTGAAACACCACTCTACATGTGATTCCCACCTGCATTCTTTGGCATTGTTGGGTTTTGCCGTGTGCTTATTATGAAAATAAGATAGTCACTTAAAGTTTTTTTTCCTTGAAAGTGTAAATGAGTAATTTTTAATACCATTCAGAAAACCAAATATAGAAACTAAGATGAAAAGAGTTGAGGGTCACAGTTTTCTTCATGCTATGAAGTGGTTTTTTCATCATGTGATCAATGCTCTGCTCTGGTTTTCTTCTTTCCTTGTTTGGCCCTTTAATACATAACAGGCTGACTCAGAAGGCTCTGAGTCTGCTTACTTCCTGCTTTCACACTCCCATATGTGGGCGGCCTGACAAGTCAGGTTTCTGTTTAGGAATCATGTTCACAGTGTTTTAAAGAGGATGTGAGCACCAGTGGGCGAGAAAACAGGACTGTTGCCCCCTGACAATCCATGGGAGGTGAATGTCTGGCCCCCCAGTACTGAGACCTGTTAGGATGCAGCCCTTGTGGATAAGCACCGGGACTCTCCTGCTCTCAATCCTGCTACCGTGGCCAGTCACAGGTAAGTGGGGCAGGACAGCCATGCTTTTCTTTATCCTGGAGCCCGGCATAGAAGTCACCTTAATGCAGGGAGGAGGCAAGAGAACTAAATGTTAATCAATCTACGTTCAGAGAGTACAACATGCTGACCAGTCCTTCAGAATAAAGGAAGATTTTTGCTGAGCTTGCTAACAACCCATTCCC